GGTTCTGAGAGATAACCATTCAAATTGGTTATCTCCATTCAACTCCCATGAGCTTCACACACCAAGCATGAAGGCAGGACACATTTATCTTGTAGCAAACGAGTTGGAGGTAGAGACCCTAAAGGACAAAAAAAGCGGGAAGCCTTTCTTGGGGAGGTTTAAATACTCGTCTCCCGACCTTCCACTCTGAGCAGCTTCTCTTCATTCCTTGCGCTCCCTCCTATCACCTTCTACTCAGGATGAGAAATATTAAATTTAAAATATGCATTCTGTCTGAGGGAGAGCGGCTCTGACGCTGACTGTCGTCCCCGATCAGCCACAGTGGCGTAAGGCCGGGGTACCGCTACCACAGCACGTGCCACTAACGATGCCGGCCCGCGGCGGTCACGTGTCACAGTGAGGACGCCGACTCCCTCGGCTTGTCACTGGCAGGCACGGCGCCGCTGACGGCAGCCTCGTCGGCTCGTTAGCAAGAAACGTGACATCAGCTAGCCGACCGCTTCCATTTATAGCCGCCGCGTGCTGCGCTAATGCTAACACCACAATGCTGTTGTTTATAGCTGATTTCAGGATGATAATTGACAGTGATTCCTCCGGTAACCATGACACTGGGCAGGCTGGGTGCATTAGTTTATTGCTGCTATGTTCAACGTTAGCAGCGCTGACTCTGTAATCACCGCGTTTGATGTTAATAATTCCTTTATTACTGTGTGAGAAATCACTCTACTCATTACTGTAACACACATGTGAGGCGCACAGTATAATTTAATTTCCATCTAGCAAAATAACTAGGCGAACAGAGATCGCAATAACGTTACCAACCTCGACTCCGGTCGGCTAATAAACGTGTCATATCTGTATTAATGCCGGAGTGCAACTGCAGCGTAGAGGACGGATGGATTATTAAGACAGCATTCAGTCAGTTACGAGAGACACGTTAAAATTGCAGCGCCATAAACTGCCAAAATGGGAGCGATGAAACACAAAGCATGGCAGTAATTAAGCCATCCCCTCGCTGAGTAATCAGGAGACCTAGGTCACTGGTTAGGTATACTGTAAGTACTGCCTCCCTTGACCAGTTCCCTCATTGTGTTTGCTGGTTCAGTTGGTACCTTATAATTACATCCCATGTCTCACTTAACACCTGAACCTTGCATGGGGGCCTTAATCGGCCCCACCCACATGGGCTGAGTGTACCTCCAATCAGATGACTGCAGGTAGGCCAATCGTTGAGGGGATTATGGGAATTTTCCCCTTAAAATGCTGAGTGCTTAAACGCCCGGGCAGGCAAAAAAGCTTGCCCTGGCCCCGCGGGCCCCGGGGCCGAGAGACGCTCCTTTAGGTGATTACAGGCCTCGTGTGAATTCCGCGTTGCAGACCAACCAGGACGCAGATGCTCTCAGTGGAAAATGACACCTTTCAAACGTGGCCACTTTGCTCCTTACCGCGAGCGGAGGAGCCGCTGATGACCGCCATGCAGCTGCTGCTCTCCTCTGCAAATTACAGTCATTGTACCGATCTCCATGTATGTAGAGTCCCCGAATAGCAATTACCTTACATTATGGGGCCCAAGCCAGACCTGACGGTGTTACAGAGACCATCACAAGCCTTTCATAGTGGAAAAAAACCATGTGATGCGTTTTCATGCAGGCAAAATCAGGTGCAGGAAGTCATTTGACATAATGGAGCATGTGAAAAGGTGAAAAGTTTTAAAGGCAGGGATGGAATAAATAACTCCAGTTGCTTAATGAAAGCCAATAGTGGGAAAAATGCTTTGTTATGAGTTTTGTCTGGTTTTGGTTTGGGTATGGAGGATTGTGGGACCATGACGGGCTGTTTTGTGGGATCTGTCTGTTCTTGCTGTGTTTGCCTGTCTCCCACTGTCTGTAGACATGTGGTCAGGAGACTCGCTGTCTCTGAACTGCCCTCTGTATGCAGAGGTGGACATTTCATGTCCGGAAAATAAAAATCCAGACCAAAATTTTGTTTCAACTAACCAGTTGAGTACTCTGTGACTATGACTCTTTATATTCAACTGGCTGGTTGAAACAAAATCCTGGTTTGGATTTTTACTTTCTAGACCTGAAATGTCCACCTCTGTCTATATGTCCCATACAGGGCGTCCCCAGCATCGTACTTCCTGGGATAAGCTGCTGGTTTACCATGACACTGGGTCAGCATCGGGGGTCTCCCGAATTATAGGAACAAAAAAATCTATCTGGTCATCCACAATTCGCACACGTACATGCTGTTTTTTAAAAAGACTGGCTTCAGTCTGAATGCACAAAGTTCACCAATATATCAGTGAATGGTTGTGGGAAATGGCTTACGTTAGCATGTTAGCGTCAGTACTGGAGTCTGCATGCTTACTCGTGTGTTCCGTCTGTGACCACGGCCTTAAACCGTATCCGACGTGGGTACCCAGCTGGCATTGCTGCTGGCGGCGGTGACAGAGGGGGTGGACGTAGGGACGGCGAGCTCCACGTCCCCGAAAACCACCGCAAGCGACGAAATCAGTGGGAGCTTCTTTGGCGAGAAACATCCCGCTAATTCTGGGCCGCCGTCAGCCTTGCACGGCCATCACTCAAAAACACCCCCCCCCAGGACACAGACGCAATGTGACAGTACTCTGTTTCGCCCCCCCCCGGACGCCTGCTGATTGGTTTGTGCACCATTGCCTCTTAAATTGGTTGACATCCATGAAAAAGGTTTTGTCACCAGTCGTTAACGCTAACAACAGAAGCAGGGTGTGTGTGTGTGTGTGTGTGTGTGTGGCTGCTGGTATTTTTACTGTGCTGTGTTGTTGGTATTGTTCCTCTGTAATGGTGATCAGTGTTCATGTCCTGGACTACAATTGGCTTTCCTACCCTGGTGTCCCTGGAGGACAGGAAGGTCAGTTTCTCCGTCTGTGCTTTTCCTTTGTAAGCCTGTGTGACACAGGGTTCCCCAGGAGAAGCAGCGAGTGCCACAGCTTGACGCGATGTGTCGATAGTTGTCACTTCCTGTTCACCTCCTCATTGGGCTTATTTGGTTGTTAGAAAGGCAGCAGGATTTCAAACGACATGAGAAGAGACACAGACGCACATCCGGAAACATGTTCTCACACACACACACACTGGCAGATGTGGGTCTGCCCACACACACACCCACCGGTATGCGCCCAGGGAAAGGCACCCACTCACGTTCGCAATCGCACACACCGGGAACGCATTCGGAAATACGCACCCACCCATACTCGCACACACCGGGAACGCATTCGGAAATACGCACCCACCCATACTCGCACACACCGGGAACGCATTCGGAAATACGCACCCACCCATACTCACACACACCGGGAACGCATTCGGAAATACGCACCCACCAATACTCACACACACCGGGAACGCATTCGGAAATACGCACCCACCAATACTCACACACACCAGGAACGCATTCGGAAATACGCACCCACCCATACTCACACTCGCGCACACTTGCTCACACCCATCCATGTCCACCCGTCGACTCACACACAGACACAGAAATCCATTCACACCACCCTGTCCACTCAATCGCACTCCCACACGACAGACACTGGAAAGGTTTTAATTTTGGCAGAAGGTGGATGAAAGATATAGCTCCTCCTTCTCATCCTCCTCCTTTGCCTCAAATCTGTCATCCATGCATCCAAAGCGACGGCCCGGGGGGTCTCGTTTGACTGACACTCCACCTCCTGACTTGGGACCTTCTTCCTTGAGATGTTAATCCCGGCCTTCTCCCAGTGCCCAATACGGATAGGCTAATGGTGGAACTAGGTTCCCAGTCTGCTCCTTCACCCCACTGGGGACTCCATCATCCTGTATCTAAAGGGGCAGCGTCAATAAATCACACGTCCCCTTCTCCTGACATGCACAATTCTGCTATGGCAGCATGTGGAAGCCAGAGGACAGAAGAAGGTGGCCGATGATGAGCAACCTTTATGGGGAACCCAAGTGAGACTCGGCTCTCCCATGGCCGACAGGGACTCACAATCCCCCTGTTCCTCGGACTTCTAGCTGAGCGACGTATGAATGAAATGGGGGGAAAATGTGCCCCTGGTACCTGTTAATCCTCGATTTAAGTCGAAATAAATCAATTTACTCGCCATGTCGAGCAAATTGGGCCGTTGATGCTGCAACATGGTGCAATAAGGCCGGCCACCTGGGTGTGTCATCCCAGCAAACAGGATGCTATCTCTTCTGCAATTAACTAGGTGAGGTTTGGGCAGGGTTTGCCTTTATCATGCTGGGGCTGGTTTTTCCCTGGGGGGGGCAATGGTGGGGGCGAGTGGAGGTTGCGTCTCAAAATAGAGCTTGGCTCAAGGCTCCTATGTGAAATATTCGATTAATATTCACGCGGAGGATTCAGAAGCAACATTACATGTTGATTAGAGAGGGCTGGGGGACAACATCACATAAGGGTAATTATATGCAGGCCATTTTTAAAAGTCAGTGATGAGAAAAACACTCATTGTATTAATATCCAAAGTCCAGAAACATGAGAAATAAATGTATTGATAGCACTGACATTATAAGACGGAACCCTAAAATAACTCCAACTAAATAACAAAAAGAAACACGTCACCTTAAAAGCACCCTTGCCGGAACAGTCACTTCATTTGACTCGATTGATAGCAGAGAACATTGAGAAATTTAACATTTTGCTCCTTGGTTTTGATTCAAACCCACGGCTTTGGTGATAAATGTGATCCTTGCTGTATACCCGCCCCCCCCCACCAACTGATAGTGGCTGTAATTTTTACACCTTGGGGAAGTTTGCAAAGCTCCCTCCTCTTCCTGAACATCCATCCGTTACTCTACACAGCTGCCTCCTCTTCCCAGACATCCACCCCTTACCCTATGCAGCTGCCTCCTCTTCCCAGACATCCACCCCTTACCCCATGCAGCTCCCTCCTCTTCTCAGACATCCACCCCTTACCCCGTGCAGCTTCCTCCTCTTCCCAGACATCCACCCCTTACCCCGTGCAGCTGCCTCCTCTTCCCAGACATCCTCTTGTTATCCTTTACAGCTTACACGCCCCTGGTGTTTGGAGCACACTGAGTACTATGTCCTCCTGAAGTACAGTTTATAGGAGGTCAGTGTGTGCCCCCCCTCCCCCCAGTCCCTAAATAATGTTGATGCTAGGCTGATCTCCCAACGCCTAATGGTGTAAGCAAGTGACTGCTTGTCTCTTGCCAGGGTTGTGTGGGTTGTGCTGGCTGTTGTGACCTGACTCTTTTTTTTTAGATTCTGACATTTAAACCTTTCACATTATTTTTAAACTGCTGGTATTCTACTGTACGCTGATTATAATCAAAGTCAAATTTGACTCATTTGTTCAGCATCTTTATTTCTTCATTAATAACTTGCCTCTGTTCCGTCCTATTTCTGTACCTGCTTTCAGCATCGCAGGGTTCTGGAGCCTATCCCGGATGCTATGTGGTCAAGGCAGGGAACAATGCAGGATGGGGTGTCAATCAATTGCATGGCACACGTGCACACGCACACCTTGGCAGCAGTAATTTATAATAGCATGTGTTTGGACTATGAGGGGAAACCAGAAGAAAATCCATGATGACACAGGGAGAGGGCAGAGACTGAAACTCCAATCCCAGAGGCGTGAAGCAGCAGTGTTAATCACCATGCCGCCCCTGTTGTCTTATATGTAAAGCAGTTTTTAAAGTCTTGGACAAACACTGTTTAGTTTCATTGAATGCCTGCATACTATGATAAGACAAGAAAATTTGACTTAAAACCTGCCTCTTTTCGCTGAGGTGTGTCTATCACTCTATCCTGAAGCTTAATTAATTTTTCGGAGCCGAATACTCGAGATCCCACTCGAAGCGACCCCCCCCCCCCAAATCCATCAAGAGGATGCGCAATAGCGGGTTGCCTCACTGGTGGCAGCGCTGTCACCGTCCCGTACCCCCCGCCTCTCTCTCCCTTGCCCATAATCGCAGGTCAAGGCCGCTTGTGTCACCTGGGGACCCATTTCGACTCGCCCAGATGACGCTGTGTTTACATGCACTCTGTCACGGAAATCAGGAGTAAGGGCCCGCGTCCTTCAGCAGGCACGTCGGCGGCTGAATGCCGCCAGAGTGTGTGACCGCGCCGTTGCCGAGGCGGCGAGCCATAAGCGAATTACAAGGCTATCTAGGCTTTCAGCTACCTGCCCACATTTCGGCAGTCATCCGAGAAAAAGGCGACTGACCCGCAGGGCTGGAGTAAGAGTATTAAGTGCCTTGGAGCAGCCACACATGACCCGTCACGTCAGAAAGAAGAAATGCAGCTGATTGGTGGCTCAGAAATTCCGGAATGCATCTAACACAGGGAAACGCAACATAGGCTTCTCAGCGAATGCCAGATTAAAAGAACTATATGCAGTGATATTAAATATTAAATCACTTTAAGTTGTTAAAAGTCATTTGTGAATAGGTCCTGGGTGGGTGCGGGGGCGGGATCATGGTGGGTTGTTCTGCTTCTCACGTGTAGGATCACACATGCACATATCACAGGGCCTAAATTCCAGGTGGCCTGAGACAAGGCCGAGCCTGGTACGAGAGGCACCAAAGGGGGGTTACACACATAAACACACACAAACACACACAGATAACAAGGGAGGCCAGCACTCCA